AGAACTAGAAACATTCGGGTTTAGCCGCACGTCTCTCAAGACGGCTAAACGCGAATGATTCTAGTTCTAGGTCTTGTGTTAGTTCTAGTGATAGTATTAGTGTAAAACTAGAACTAACACTAGACCTAGAACTAGAAAGTATCAGGTTTAGCAGTGCGTCCTCAGGTCTAGTGTTAGTTCTAGTTTTACACTATCACTAGAACTATCACAAGACCTAGAACTAGAAACATTCGGATTAAGGTGCACGTATCTCAAGACGGCTAAACCCGAATGATTCTATTTCTAGGTCTTGTGTTAGTTCTAGGGGTAGATGGCGCTAGTTAGCATAAGATATTACTATATTGTGTATTTGTATTGAACTAAAACTAGAACTAACACTAGACCTCTAGTTTCTAGTGTTAGTTTTAGACTAGCACTAATACTAGAACTAACCCAAGACCTAGAATTGGAATCATTCGGCTTTAGCCGTCTTGAGAGATGTGGGCCTAAATCCGAATGTTTCTAGTTTGCGGTTTAGTATTAGTTTTAGTTTTGTATTAGAACTAACACAAGACCTAGAACTAGAATCATTTGGGTTTAGCCGTCTTGAGAGACGTGGGGCTAAACCCGAATGTTTCTAGTTCCAGGTCTCGTATTAGTTCTAGTTTTAAATGTTGTTTAGCGTTAGATTGTGCTGTATTTATATTGAAAGAAAAGTAAAACTAACACTGGACCTAGAACCAGAAACATTCCGCTTTAGCAGTGCGTCTCTTAAGACAGCTAAGCTTGATTGATTCTAGTTCTAGGTCTAATGTTAGTTCTAGTGACAGTGGTAGGTAGCGCTAGTTAGCATAAGATATCAAGGTTTATACATTAAAGGTTGTCTAAGTTCCTATGCTGCAATACTTTGATTTTAGTTTGTGGACGAGGGGCAAGAGCAGGAGTGTTTCGTGACGTAAGCGATCACGGATTGCGCACGCAACCTCATGGCCATGTGGTACTCCATGTATTTGTTCAATTTGAATTGCTTGGCGGTATTATTTTCCACATGTGACGTAATGCGCAGTATGATTGCGTACGAACCTAGACAACCTTTTATATATAAACCTTGATAAGATATCACTAAGGCACGGAACTTTTGTAACAAAACGATACGATTTCCCCCCTCCACTTGCTCTCAGTGGCTAGTTTTCTGAGCTTGTTTTCTAACCCTTCCGCGTGGAAGTTAAAAATTTCAATTACTATGTGAGTTGCGGGAATGCGATCTACTCTATGCTATCTACTCTAATGCGATCTTATGACGTACACGTGTACGGCACTCCGCAGTAGAAATAATTTTATGTATGACGTACACGTGTACGGCACTCCACGCGGAAGGGTTAACCTCTTTACATAAACAGTATTCCATAGTATATAAAGAGGATAAATGCGCTTGTAAGCCACATAGTTCAACATAGTTCTTCTTCACAAAATGTCTTTACCACAACTTGTCTACGATATGTGCAATGCCGTATGGCAAAATGTAAGTATTAATTCCATACTCGTTTAATTTTAAATTTTATTTTTATATTATTTTCAGTGTATAATACATGAAGTGACAGACACTCAAATGACACTA